CATATTTGAGCTTTTGTTAAAGGATATATTTACAGGGTATTACATTTTTTATGATTTTGTGTTACTTTGGGGAAAATGTCGACAAATAATTACTTTTTATACTCCTTATAATGTCTTATTTATGCCATATCACTTTATTGCCTTTTAATACTCTATTCCCATATTCACTTGAGTTATCCAAGCATATCCATAGATGTATCTGAAAAAGAATATAGAAGAACATTCTGGACATGTTTTAAAAAATAAATGTTTTCAACCTTCACTAGCCTGAGAATGGTGAGCCATGCTGAACTAAGGAAAATGTTAGTGTTAGCACAGCGTATATTTGGGAAGTTCTGCACAACATACCCTGTGCTGCTAACCTTATGTATATAACATATACATTATAAAAATAATCACCAATATTTTTGAACAAAATCAGGAGCTTGTGAATACTGAATACATGCTGTCATTAAAATAATAAGAAGGATAATGTGCTTACTGGCATACTGTATAATTGCAGGCACCTAGATACCCAAAGAGAGAAACTGACAAGCTAGGCCCTGGTACTTCCTGATAGTGCTAACGCTTGATTGTCCTTAAAGCCCAACTCCAGGCACAGCTTTTACATTTTTGTTAACCTTTATTTCTTACATATACAATATCAGTTTGCTAATACATCGGGAGCTTTGCTTAGTGTTCCTGATATGTACAATGAGGAGCCACTTTCAGCTCCCCACTGCATCAGAATACTGTGTATGATCTACACCAGTTGTGCCTCTACCCCCTCAATCTGCTGTGTCACAGTGATGACATTTGTGCTGTGCTTTGTGAATAGCACAGCATAGTGAAGGGACAGAGGCACAATGCCCGAACTGCTGTCTTTGACTGTCTTTGACTGTCTTTGACTACTTTACGATGCAGCGGGGAGCCCCTGATATGCTTACAAATAGACATTGTTTCTGTGAGAAATTTGAATAGTTGCATCTGGAGGTGAGCTTTGTTGCCATCTGGCCAATTGGCCAATTGTAATATGCATAGCATGGGGGCTTGGAGGCTGCTTACTTATTTTAGTGATATTTTATAGACGTGCGATTCGTTTCAGAAAGATTAGTTATTCAAATGAATTTTCGGAATCCGAATTTCCAAATTACAGAAATGACGAATGCAAACAAATCTGAATTTCCGATTCCGATTTTCGTTAGTGGTAGTCCACAAATTTGATCCGAGCAGAGGCCCGGCAGGGCAGAAAAGAGGGGGATCATCGAGCGCCCCCCCTCCCTGTGCCTTACCGGGCCACGTGCCCTTGGCATTGAGAGGGTGTCCCCATGCCGATGGGGACAAGGGCCTCTTCCCCACAACCCTGACCCGGAGGTTGTGGGGGTCTATGGGCAGAGGGGCTCATCTGCATCTGGGTACCCCCTTTCATAAAGTGGGCACTAAGATGCCACTCCCCTTGTGAATGAGTAAGGGGTATGCTCCCTTTGCCTTCCAGGCCCCCATAACCACTGAGTCGGGGTTGTGGGGAGGAGGCCCATGTCTCCATCGGCATGCTGGTTTCTTTTTGTTTTTTTTCTACATCAGTGCTAACATTCCTACCAGACCTAGAGGGTCTGGTATGAATTGGGGGGGGGGCCCCACACTGTTTTTGTTTTTTGTGTCAAAAATGTAAAAAAAAAAAAAAAATTAAAGATGAAATGTTACTTTTCTGCGATACATTTTAGTTTATCGATGATCATTAATGATCATTTAACTCAAATCCGAATGCTGAAACAAATTGGCTTTTAGACCCAAATCCCAAAACACTAAATAACAAAACATCCGAAACAAACTTTAATTAAGGGGGCACCCAGATGCTACCCCCCCCCCTTGTGAATGAGTAAGGGGTACTTGTGCCCCTACTCATTCACTAAAGGGTTAAAATTCAACGTAAATAAACAAACCACACTTTTAGAAAAAAATCCTTTAATTGAAAAAAAAAACAGTCAATTTTTGATTATTCCTTTAATTACAATAAAATGGCTCCATCAATGTAATCCAGCCCCACGACCCGCACGACGCCCGCCGACCCTCCGAAATAAAAAAGTCCCGATGCACGACGACCGTCCCAACCCGACAAAAACTCGCCTTGACTGTCTTCAAAGGATTGACCTTTTTCCTTTAGATGTAGGTATACTGTTGAATCCTGACCAGAGGGTTTAGCTCTTCTATGCTGGTGTAGCTGCTGTTTTGTTTCACCGACATACAATTCTGAGCACTCCTCACTGCACTGGACTGCATACACAATGTTGTTCATCTTGGGTTTTGGCGTTGGGTCTTTTGGGGGAACCAGTTGTTGCCTCAGTGTATTGCTGGGTTTAACCCCTTCGTGACCAGTTATTTGCGGCTCTGCAATGCTGGTAACTGCTGAGAATCAGCAGTTACCATTCATTAATGGATGCCTCAGTATGGAGGCATCCATTAATGAAAGAGTTAACCTTTTTCAGACACCCAATCCCTTTCAGGAATCGAGTGTCTGAGAGTGAGAGCAGAGCAGCATTTGCAGCTCTTGCCGTCACTCTGACAGCTGGTATAGATCAGGAAATCCCGATGTATACCGGCTTTTTTTTTTTTTTTACTTTCAGGAATAGAAACATAATGTATTTATTCCTGAAAGAATGTTTCAGTTTTCTGATCGTTGTTGGAACGATCAGAAAACCTTTAGTGACATCTGATCCTGAAATGCTGCAGTGTCGATAAGGTTATTATTGGCTGTTCTTAAGTTTGAAGCAGTCTATTAATAACCAAAAATGTATTAATGAATTAATCAAGCAGTAATAGTGAGATTAATTCACAATGACTGCTTGATATAATTAAATAAATAAAATAAAAATGTAAAAAATGTTTACAAAAATTGTGAAAAGTGTAATAAATAAAAATAAAGTGTAAAAAATATTTTAAAAACTTAATAAATGTAACAAAAAAATGTAACAAATAAAAATGAGATATTTAAATATATTTTTTATACTATCATGTATATAAAAATTAACCCTTTACAATGAAAATCTGCAGCTGTGCTGCAGATTTGTTTTTCACCTAAGGGGTTAATTTTTTAACCCTCCTCATGACGGTGATGTTCAAAGTATGTCGCTGTCCCTAAGTGAGACACATTTAGTGACAGTGACATTGTATGCCAGGTGACCACTTTTAGCTTTAGCTTTTAGACACAAAAGATTAAAATGTTAGGTTTTAGTTTTATGCCAAGAAGTACACAAAAAAAGGATAGGAAGTTTTTCCAAATAAAGGACAAATAAATGAATTTATGTATTGCATTTTTTTTTAGCTGTGCTGTTTTTGTAAATACTACAAATCAAAACTGGGGAAAAAGTGTTTTCTTTAAGTTTTTTCCTTTTTTTATATTTTATTTGTCCTAAGTGAGGCATTAGGTACACATATGTGATATAAATATATAGCCCTATATGTCCTCTAAAAATCAATATATATTATGTGTGGGTGCACTTTGTAAGAAAGTATATTACTGACGTGAAAAATGTAAAAAGTGCATCAGTCATTTACAAACAGATACTAAAAACAAGCTCAGTCATGAAGGGGTTAAAGCAAACAGGGATGTGATGTTTTTAAAAAACCCTTCTGAGTTTCCCAGACACCCCAGCTACATATGGGATGACCAAATTCTTTCGTTTGTCATGCTTTTCACCCTCACTGGTACTCTTGGCATTCTTTCCAGAGAATTTTTGAACAAGTCATTCTGAATTGAGAAAGCTGGTAGATGACCAGTGAAACGTCTTCAAGAAAAATATAGCAAGTCCAGTTGCCTTGACTTATTTTTTTTTATAGATATACCATGACCTGGACGAATGGGAACCCTCACAGACATAGACTCTCCTTGCTCTTCTCTAGCACCACTATAAAAATAATTACACAACAGCACAAGAGCATTACTGGAAGTGTCAAGAAAGAAAGACAGTTCAGTTTCAAAGATTGCCTTTAATGGTCAGGAATAAAGGATGCTATTCAGTCCAGAGATGCTTCTCATGGTTAATAGGATTTGGATCTTAAGAAAACTGACTGGAAAAAAGGGAGAGAGGATCATCCTCTGTCTTACACACTGGCAGGCAGTCATTGCTGAGCCTGATAAAGGGGACCCTGCAGGGCCCCAAAAGCGCTTGTCTGATTGATATGTTTGTTCAATAAATGGACACTTGGTTATTCTGAACAGATATTTGGTGTGCTGGTGACATCCATTCACAATAATTACTACCGGAGGCGCCAACCGCGGTCACTGCGAGCACCCTCCCTGCTACTTGGGATACCCGGTAAGGAATGTGACAAGGCATCTGCATACTGGCAGGCAGTCAGTCGCTTGAAACAGTGCCATAGGAATGTTTCCAGTTGTGTCATGAGAAATATCTCCCTCATTTGTTTTTTGTAAAATAATATGTAACAAGTGGCAGCAAGGAAAAGAATATGTGTTGAAATTGCTTTTATGGACTCCAGAAAACTAACAATACAGTACAATGATTGAAATATTCCCAACATGATGCAACTAGCATGGGATTTTACTAATGTCAACATCAAATATAAGAGGTGACAAGAAATACCTTGCCAGAAAAATTACTTTTCAGCCACTATGCACAGCAGTAAAGTGTAGAATGTCATCTGACAGCCTTCATATGAAACAATTTCTTCAACCCACATCATCAAAGAATATTTATCTGAAGTTTCATAGTATTTCAGATAGTAGTTTTATTGGAGGCTTTCAAGGAGAAAATATTTATTACACAGTATATATATACACAAAGAGACTTTATTCCATAACTGCATACATCAGCATCAGAAGCACACCATATTAAAGCCATACTTGTTTTGGCCAGAATGAAAATAAATATTCTGTTTATGCTTCAGCTCTTGTCAGTGATTACAGGAGTTATTTTGCCTGGAAAATAGCTTGAATACGTTGACTCTCTGTGCTCTCTGAGTTGCATTGTTTAGTCATATGAATGAAAAGGAAATTGACTTACCCCATCCTATGAGTGTAAAGCCCCATAAGTATTTAGTGTCTGAAAAGAATGCTACAAATATCAAGCTGTGCAGATAGAGTCCTTCAACCAGTATCCAATAGTAATTGGTGGCCAAGAAGTAAATAAACAGCACAACAGCAATTTTGCATCCAACCTAAAAAGAAATCCAGAGATGGTTTTATTTTTTACTACTCTACATGGAAAAAATGAACAGGCACATAAAAAGATAACTTTAATGCAGTTATAATATCAGTTTGTAAAGTGGTGTTGCAGGAAGAGGGGGGGGGGGTTAGGTGCGACAATCACTCAATGCTCAGATCACAGAGTTGTCACATGACCATTGCAGTGCTCTAAGGCCTTGTTCACACCAAGCGCGGAGCAGATCCAGACCAGAGCAGGTGCAGACCGGATCAAAACTGCGTCCAATGTATTCTATGGTATTTTGACCTCCAGTTCACATCGCAGCGTGCGGATCCAGACCAGATCCAGAGCAGATGAAAAAACTGCGGCAAGCCCTATTTTACCTGCTCTGGAACGCATCTAAAACGCATCTAAAACGCATCAAAAATGCATGCAAGTGCCTGAAAGCCCATGTTAAACTGCATGCAAGTGCCTGAAAGCCCATGTTAAAAAAACGACCCTAAACGCATCAAAAAACGCATCCAAAACGCGTCAAAAATGCGGCACAACCCACTGCACTGCGTGTGCAGAAACCTGACCGGATCTGGTCTGCATTTGGTGTGAACAAGGCCTAATACTAGAGGAAAGCTAGCAGAGGACCAACATGTCCTCTGTACTAGACTCTGGCAGCCATAAGGTTACCATATGAGGTTTATGTAAAATCTCCATTAACATATATGTATAGTTTTTGTAATTAAATATATTCTAAGTTGGGTGACTGAATGAGAGTAATAATAAAAGGTGTTTTACTGTCCTGGGGGATTGAATACAGGGGAATATTGAATGTAATTATAGATGTGCCCAAGCATAGCCTTTTAATTGTAAATGGTCAAGACAAAAACAATAGACTGGCTCCAGGATGGTTTATCTAGACAATGGATGCAAACTCTATTTTGTGTCTGACTAAGAGCTTCACAGGATTCACATATTTATACAATTAGATTGTCCTCCCTTGGAAAGATACAATCGTGACCTGGGGTTAGCCTGCAAACACCTGTGCATTTTTAATTTTCCCTCAAAATGTTGATACAGTTGAGGTCATTACAAATTCACATAGAAATGCGTTGGATGCTGTAACATTATTATTATATAACATTATTATTATTTTATAAATATCCAATCCCCAAAGGACTATTCTAATTTGATTAGTACTTGTGTATTTTGCTAATATTTTTCTGCATGCTTAAATATTTTCTTTGTGTTTAGTAGTTAAAAAGTACTATATACCAATACATTTCTGTTGTTGTGTTGAGCTCAAAAATCTCATGTTTGAATTCTCAAACAAAAGTAAATACTTGTAGATGTGAATAGCGAATCATATCTCATGTATTGTGCTGCTCTGTGGACATGTATTGTGGTCTGCAGACAACTGTATTTAGCCCTGGTGAGAAACTGCCCTAAAATCATCAGTTTGTGTTTTTTTAGAAAAAAAGTCACGTCACTTTAAGAAAAAGTATCGGTAATTGGTATCGGCAAGTACATGAGGGCAAGTAAGTGTTAAATGCAACATGATTGAGATAGCTTATAAATACAATAGTAATGTAACATAGTGACTGCAGGATTCGATAAGAGGATTTCAGCACAGAATTCTCAGAATTATGGTGATCCCCTGAAATGAATTGGTTAAAGGATAATTATAATGACAAAAACATACATCATCTAAACATACTAGGCCACTACTAGCACTGTTCTTTTTTTAAATATGTAGTAAATCAGTCACCATACCATGCTCTAGCTTTCCAGTAATGTGCTTTTTTTCTTTTTTGTTTATCACATACATCTTCTGTACTATCCTTTTTCACTTATAAATCATGCTGCAGTTGAATACATTTTTACAGCCATGGATGTCAGTTTTGTAGGATCAAGCCTCATGTGATGTAGCTGCAATGATCTATATTGTGACCTAATGATGCCAGAAGATCTAAGTAGAGACCGTATGTGTGACCTTTACAAATTGCACTCAGTAAGGCAAGAGTGTGATATCTAACCCTGATTTCACCTACTTTATATGAAACCACACACACAATAGAAAGCAATTGTGAAATGCAACTCTTGTTTTACCTGCTTGCCTACAAAGCTGGAAATTTAGAGGGTTTTATTATTTGAGCTGGGATTAATAGTCAACCTTTCATGTGTTAGCTTCCTTGCTGAGATTTACTTTATGCTTATCTTGACGATATGTCTAAATATACAGACACTTATTCTACCTACTTAATCTGACTGAGTTTTGGTACTTTACTTTACTGATCACTAGAGATACGTATAGAAATCAGTGGATAAACATAATGATATTACAGCCTAAGTCCAGCTATTTTGTGTTTTTTCGGATAAACTAAGGGAAAAGTAACATTTCCTATAGGTGTTTATTTCTGTCTATGACCCCATCGATAAGATCTTTCCTCATTTCCTGTCTCTATGGCACCTGTACATAAAAATTTGTCAGTTGTCATTAGGGTACAAAGACAGCGCCACCCATAAAGGCCCCATTCACACCTGACCGTTTTGTAGCGCGTCCTACGCTCGATGAACGCTCTACAAAACGGTCAAAAAAATAAATAGCATTGTAGTCAATGGTATCGTTCCCACCTGTCCGTATTTCCGCCCATCCCGAACGCACTACAAAACGGCCCACGCATGAAAAGGTCCCGGAGCGTTTTTTGCTGCGTATTGGTCCGTTTTGTAGGGCGTTTTCCCTTTGTATACTGCCAAGTAGCCTTTGGAGTCGCGCGACTTTTTTACCGCGATTCGCGGTAAATAAAACGCGCGACAGGCGCGCATATTACAATACGCATAGGTGTGAATGGGGGCTAAAACATTGTCAGTTACTTCCTTCTTCACTCTGCTAAAAAATTGTTTTTTGTTTTACTTTTGTTTGAGCCACATTGGAGAGGTTTCCCATCATGTCCTGTCCTGGCATGAAGTAAGAGAAAATCTCCCTAAAAGGCTGGAAATTCAAACCTGAAATGTTTTTGAATTTTTTTGAATGACATTGAATGTTTTGACTGAGGATGTGCTTTAGGAATAGGTGTTAAAATACAAGAACCAACAAAATGTAATTATTGACTTACATATTGTGATTTATCCATTACAGGAGCAACCATGATGCTCCTAAGGTCACCCATGAGCATTGCATCTAATTCCTTCACTCCAATATGAGTATGAACCACTTTATCCTTGATGAAGATACTAGCAGCTCTCATCATAAAAGAAACAAACAGATGCATGTGGATGTAGTTTCTTGTACAGTGCAATCGCCTGTGAAAATACATATGTAGATAATTGTAAAGCCAAATACATTTATTAAACAATAAAATCACAATATATTATTTGAGTATAAGTCGTAGTGGAATGTGTTGTGGAATGGATACACTATCACTGTATTGATGATGCTGAACTGTGTTCTTTGTTGGGCATTCAGTAAAAAGCCTACATACTTTAAGGCTGGGTTCACACCTAGGCGTATCGAATATGCGTGTTTGTCGCGCGTTTCGTGAGGCACGTTTTTACCGCGATTCGCGGTAAAAAAACGTGCGACAAACACGCATTTCCGAGGGCTACTTGGCTGTATCCCAATTCGAAACGTGCAACAAAAACGCCCCAAAGAAGCTCCTGTACTTCTTTGGGCATAGGGCGTTTTATAGCGCGTTCATAAGGCCTGTAATACCCCAGGTGTGAATACCCATAGGAAATAATGGGATTTCGGTGTTTGAGCGTTTTGCAGAGCGTTCGAACGTGCTACAAAACGCCCAGGTGTGAACCAGGCCCACTTCATCAGGACTTAGGGTGCTGGGTAGTAGCGATTGGCAAATCTGCCCTGATTCAAATTACCAAAGGTTCAGCGACACCTTTTGAAATTCACAAAACCTAAATTTAGAGGCAAATTCCATTAAAGTCTATAGGAGCAAATCTTGTTGTTAAATTCTGTTACTTTTTACAGTTAATAGGCACACTGCTCTCAAAAAGGCAATGGAAGCTTGACAGTGCCATGGGGACATGTACCAATGGCAAAAACATTTTTTTTTAAATACCATTCAGTGGGGAGAGACGCTTTCCATGCGGCTTTTAGAGCAACATTGAAAATGCACAAATCCCTTAAATAACAAGCTTGCAGTATACCTTATATGGGGCCTAGAGGATGCTTTAAACTGTATGTGCTGTACACTGACGGGGCATATTTGTGGAATTGATTTTGTTCTTTTACAGTTAGCTTGACTTACAAACTGTAGCACCCCAATGTGAATTTATTTAGGTTTAAAAAAAGGCTTGTTTAATGTGGTTCTAGCAACAACATATCCTTTTTCATCAAACAGTAATAGTCCCCTTTTGACTTGCAGCTACAAAATTGTTCAGTAGTTACCTGTTGGTGTTCTTGTTATATCTTATGCAAAACTGTCCTAAAGATGGCAAATATCTATCAAGCTCTTTGTTAGGAATTTAGAGATTGCAGATGATATAGCAGTGTAAAATTAGACAGCAAAGAGCACAAGCTGGGGCTTTACTACAAGAACTTGGGTACTGCAGGGTATACAGCACTGGTCAGCAGCAGGACAGTTCCAATCAGTGATAATAAGTCTAACTGGTGTATTTGTGTATGGCTAACTTTTTTGTTTATGGGGATAGGGGGTGTTGTGAATATGAGTGATATGTGATATAACATGAGATGACTTAGGTGCACACTGTTCTTACACTTAGTTTATTTCAAACTATATAGTGGCACAAAATGGTAGCTTAAAAAACAAATAGTCAGTAACAAGTAAGTGTTCTGTTTTAAGCACCCCAAACGTAAAAAATAACCTATGAAGAAAAAAAAAACCACGAGAGAAATGGAAATGCCAAAATACCACATCTGAAACAAATACTAACATCTCACATTTTTTTAATAGGTGGACTTGCAGCCAAAAACCAATAACCTCAAATCAACCAGAAAATAAAAAGAAAAGGAAACAAAAACGACTCAATAATAAGAAAAACAAAAAGGCAGTGAGGAATTAACTGTCCAAAGAGCTATTAATCAGAATAAAACTACAGTTTCCTAACTAACCCTCTATTTCTATGCAGTGCGCAGTCTGTCAGCTTTCCCTATACTTTCCCTACAAGAGCTTTCAATTCACTGACACTTTGGCTACTCTATGTTCTCCTTTTATAGTGAGGGGGTTGGTTTATTCAAAAACCGCTTAGTAGGCCTTCTAAGACTGCTGGCCACAAATCATAGGTTTTGCAGTGCATTATGGTTTAAAAATATTCTTCAGAGGGTGTCTGCAGAAAAAAATGTCTTGGCCTTCATCTCTACTGGATAGAACAAGATCTCATTCTATCAAGTAAGTCTGTCACTATATGATACAGTCTTAGGTGGTTGCCTCAGGCAGCATCTCATTAGGGGGGTGGAGGGTATAGGGGGGAACAACAGGTGTGGGGGCAGCAGAGTCGTGGCCACAGCATCCCATGTTGCTAAGACCTCTTAGCAACCTTTGACATTCTGTCCGGCTTCCCGCCCAGCTTACTGACATCAATAGTTGCCAGAAAGCTGAGTGGGACACTCAGGCTGGTGTCCTGTCAAGCTACTGGCAACCAGTAACTTCAGTGAGCTGGGCAAGACCAGGCAGCTATTCACAGGCACATCCCACAGCATACCCTTGCCCGCCACCCCCTCTGGAAAGCCACCCCTGCCCTCTTGATCATCAGCAGTCAAAACCACCCCCTGGGTATGGTATGGTTATGGTAGGGACGGCCCTGCTGCCAATCATCTCTAAAGGGATAGTTCACCAATATGTCACCTTTTCAAAAAAAACCTTTATGTTCCAGCATCTGGATTATATTAAAATGCAGTCCTCATGTTTTATAAAAGATGCTTCATTTCAAAAGTATACCTCTAGGCCACCTGTGGCCTTACCCCAGCCTGTCTTTAAAACTTCTAGAGTGGGCAACCCGTCTTTGCCTAAATGGCAGGATGGGCTGGCCATTTGATGCTCAGCCCAACCAATGCAGGAACGAGCAGTCTGGCCCATTCACAACCATTCACCACTGTGCTCTCTGTTGCAGCAGCGGCTGAGCTCAGCTTTTTGCAACCGAGGGAGAAAGCGTGCACAGGTTCAACAAAACAGATCACTTGCTAGTGTTCTTTAAACTTCTAAAGCATGTTGGCTTTTTACTGAATGTGACAGCAAATAAACATATTCTGGACAAAATCAGTCTAGTGCTCCCTCCCTATATATTTAGCCATATCATGTCAAGCCACTGCCTCTGGTTTCTGGTTACATGCTTTCTGCATGTAACAGTTTGGGTGTGTTTCCGTAGGCTGCAGTGGTAGGTGTCCTCTTAAGGCAATTATCTCTTCACTGTAACTGCACTTGGAAAACTGAGTCTTTTTATCCCCTGATTTACCATGCCCAAATCTGAACAAAGTCTTATGTAGTGGAAAGGAAATGCCTGACACTGCTCTTAAAACAATAGTATAATTGCCCCCTTACTCACATAAAGACCTACTACAAATTAAGAACATTCCCCTCATAAACCAGAACATTTAACAGAATGAATAAGATTTAACTTCAAAACTAGAGGAAATAAATAAATATTCTCACAATTATCAAAGCCCACCTAGAAATAAAACATTTATTTTACAGAAAAAGGGAAACATGGTAATAATAAAATATTTTAAGACTTCTTACTGTTCAATAGTCTACTCAAAATGGCAGTGCTCTAGAATGAAGAAATAACTCAATATCCCTAGGTATTACAGATTGTTATCCAACACAATTGAGTAAACAAAATCTATATTTTCTATTAAGTCTCATACCAATGACGTAAAACGTCATTTAATAATGTTTTCAAGAGTGAAACAGGGTTTCATTGGCTACCTTTGTACAATGCTGCAACACTCATTTGAAGCATTTAGCTAGGACTAAGGCTTAGTCATACTTAAAACGTCTTACTGCAATCTCTTTATAAACTTCGAATCACGGTGAGTCTCAGGGGTTTCAGTCAATTTAAAATCTATAATGCTAATTTATACCCAATAGGGAATACTTTAAATACATAACTTAAAAAAAAAACCCACAGAAAACAACAGGAGTTCCTATTAATAAGAGTTCCCTATCAAGAAGAGAAGAAATGTCAGGGTAAAACTGTTTAAGCTTATTACTCAAACTGTAACTGATTTTCTATAAAAAAAATGTATATTAATAATATGATGCTTGTAAGGGTGAAAAGAAATCTACCAAGATGGGAGAAGCATTATTGAAGATACAGACATCTCATCACTCTTTATTGTTTCGTTTACTCCAACACCTCAATAGCTAGTACATCCATGCGGAATCAAAATGGTGCTCATAATTCTTTTACAACTGTAGGGATATAATAGTCTTGCAGCCATGTCATATTGCAGTTAACACTTAGGGGCTGTTTTTTAGACCATTTGCACACGAATTCACTGCCCCAATGAGATTCTCTGTGTTGTATGGCAACTAGATAGAGCCGAAAAGCATAGGAAATTCCTCTGCTCCATCTAGTGGCCATACAGTCCTGCGAACTTCACTCACACAGTGAAGAGCTTTGCAAAAGGTTTATAAATCAGTCCCAAGCAGGGCCGGCCTTATGGGTGTGCGAGCTATGCGGCCGCACATGGCGCCATGGCAACAAAGGCGCCAGCCAGCTGACACAGCTCGTCCTCGGGCGTCTTCTCTCCACCTCACCGCTCTCCTCCTCACCGTGCAGGAGGGAGTGCTGCCTGCTGTCAGGATGGCTGAGCAGTGAGGGGGAGAGAAGCCGCGCCCGCAGCTGCCAGAATGGCTGAGTGGGGAGGAGATCGGAGCCGCTGTCTTCCTGTCAGTTTCACATAGTACTATGTGTCCCCAGTTATGAATGAACAGGCTGTGATTTACATCACAGCCTGTTTATGCAAGATTTCCTCAATGGGGAGAAGCACTCACTACAGAGGCCCCTCACCATTCAGAACCTGGTGATACTAAATATTTTACTAGCAGTGTCTGAATGAATGGAAAGCCTCTGTACTTAGTGCTTCCCATTCATTGAGTGCTGAGGCTGCTGAAAAAGAAATTGAGGATTTCTTTTCTATTTTAAAAGGGAAATGTCAGGGGTCTGTTTTCAGCCATTGGCGTGTTCTGGAGGCAGAGCGCATGATGTCATATAACACCGGACATGTCGGGCGCCACCATCTTGGTGTATATCTAGGTATACACCAAGATGGTGGGGCCAAAATCGGAGTGTGGCGTCACCTGACGCCACGTATGCATGGCGTC